CGGAGTAACTAAACGCAGCAAACATATGAAATGGTGAGCATACGATCACCCGGGTGTGCAACCGATCACTATTACCACACTCACCACTCGCATCCTTTTCCTCCTCCTTGCAAACGTTGTCTTCGGAGCTACAGACAAATTCAAACGATGACAAGTGAGGACACCAGCAAGCGCTTGCAAACGTGTGCGTCTTCAGATAAAATGTGGCAACTATCAACCCGTTGCGGGGCCTTTAACAGTGAGTAAGCGCGACTTGAACCTGACAACCCCGTCGTGCTACTCATTGGATAATGCCGTGTAAAAGTGCAGGGCGTGCGATACGACAAATGCTTTGGTCTGCTTTACCACCTTGAAAAGAGCATCCAATTCTTACGTAGCACAAAAGAGCCAATGCAAGAGAGGTCGCCATTTTGGTTTCGAGTAGACAGAAAGCAACAAACCTCTTGTTCTGATCGTCGCCCTCGACTGAGGACGACTCTTTCACTGCCGAGGCTGAATCCGCAGTCGCATTCTCTTCTGTCTTCTCATCCTCACCCCCCTTCTTAGAACCCAATTCTGAACCAACAGTTTCAACCCCAACGTCCTGTTCGCGTACACTAATAGTTTGCGAGCCCTTTTCACTGTCCAATGTCTCTTCTGGGGGCTTCTCCGCATCCGCGGTGGCGTCCGTCTCAAGGGCATCCCAGTTGCTTTCTGCGTCCGCTTTGGCTCCCGTGTCGGCAGACACATTGTCTTCCCCGCCAGCGGTGGCCGCCTGTTCTTCATCGGTGCTCGTCTCACGGCTCGGGAGGCGGTCTTCGATAAGCGGCTCAGATAAACAAGACCCGGCTACTTTGTCATGTTCTACAGGTTTAACAGGAATAGAATGGCACAGAGTTTAATAACTTCTGAAACACAGCAATGGTTAAGGAGGAAGCGGCAAGGCCTGGATTAGGAACGTCATAACCCCGAGCCTGTGCTCCGACAACAACTAAGCAAAGTGCTGAAGTAGACCCTACGGAGAGACTGGAAGGGAGCCCAAAAGGTAGTAAAATAACCAAGCGTGTAGAGTGGGGAGGAGGGACTCATTCTTTTGTCTTGCAGGTTTGACAAGTGGCCAAGGTGTTCACCTGATCCAAAGCAGAGTCCGTGGGGGAAGAGAGGCGCAAGGTCGGCGTCAGCGCAGTGGGTGTTTCTTGTAACAGTCCTTTTGCTTGGCTTCAGTGTCCTTGGAGCAAAACTTCTTAACTCAAGTCCAACAGTTTCATATCCTTTATTGTAAATTGACGCCCGTGGCTTTGATGTATCTTCGCGTCTGCAGTCTTCGAGCGGCCAAGAGGAACACTGCAGGTAGCCTGCAACAGCTCGCCCCTGACACTCATTCAGTCCGATTGCTGTCAACGTGCCTCTAAGTGACCCTCAAAATGGGCCAAAAATGGTACCGGGACCATTTTCTACAACTTCAACAACTGTTGTCAACCAAGTTTCAACACAGCGACAGCAATCGCCTTTGGGCTTCCAGTCTCTCTCGCTCTCTCTTTCGTGCTCTCTCTTTCTCTTGCTCTCTCGTTGAAATTAAAGGTAATTTTGGCACTCCAAGCTAACGCTACGAAAAACCAATTTTCTGGCTCTTTCTATACATTACCTGTTTCTGCTAATAGTTCGTCTGCGTCGGCAGTCTGAAACACAACAAAGAGGTCGATTTTAAAATGAAGTTTTGTTTTGTAAAACATGCAAATGCAGTGAACCCACATTCAGCGTGGGGGATTCAATTCAGACAAGACACGCAAATGAATGAAAATTCGTTTTTTCTCTCGTTTCATGCCTTCCTCATCTTAAAACACACTGAAACATTTGTATCATCATTGTAAAGATTTGAACACAACAACAACATAAAACCTACAGAAAATATTTTATGAATGTCACCTTAAGAGGAAGAAGGATGTGCTGGAGTGGTAAGTAGGCCAAATATCAGTCTGAGCATTTACAATGGTTTGAAAAAGTCAAGGTTACAATAACCGCTGAAGCTGCCTGTCATCGGTAATGAGCTGCTCTTTTCTTTTATGAGGCGACTTCTAAGCAAGGTAAAATATGATTGGCTCCTTGCAGAGTTGAGTAAAAGAGCTGTCTCTTTGAGGTTAACTTATTTTTCTACTTCTCGGAGTGCAGTTACGCATGAAAGTAGTGGGACGGAGATAACTTCGACAAAAAAGACAAGAGTTGCACGGATGCCTTTACTTTTTTTGCGCCTTTTTTCTTTTTTTTAATAAAAACATGTACATATGTAGGTGCCAGCGTGAGCGAATTAGCCCTAACGACAACATGAGTATCCTACAGGTGTGTTATAACAATAGCTCACCAGTGTTGTGACACTTTGACTGGCTCAGAAGAGTTAAGTCTGAAGAATACAAACAATTTATGTATTTAATTTAAAAATGTCACGTTTCTTAATGTACCAAACATTCTACATTTCGCTGAAAAACAAAATGGATTGTGTCCAATGAAAAACAAATGCTCACAATTTCAATAATCGGCCCGTGCCTCAGTGGCGAGTGCATCAGCTACAGCGAGTTTTCGAATGAGTGTCTGGACATCAGCTGGTAGACAGCAGTTCTGGCGATATTGCACTCATTGTGTTTCGCAGCTCTCCCAGAATTGAATGGCTGAATAGTACATCTTCTTTCCCACATACAAGGGAATTACAGTAAGTTTAGCAAGTATGGAACTGTAAAAAAGAGATGACAGCTGTCAACTCAGATTTCGGACAATATAGATAAGATTTCAATAAAAATCTAATATGTTATGGTGCTGGAGCAGGTAAACTGTAATACAGTGGTAAATGCTGCGTTTGGAATAATGACACCCCAAAAAAACAAAAAAAATAAAACTTACCACATAAAGTGAAGAGCCCAGAATATCTTCATCTTCCAGCCCCCCCGAGTCATCCAACTGAAAAAAAAAGACTTTAGCATAAATCAAAGCCCATATCTTGATGAGCAGAACTTCTTATTACATGGCTGTTTCTCACATGTCTTGCGTCCTCTTCAGAGTCGATGGTAACATCATCCTCATCATCCAGGTGCTCATCTTCTTCGCTGCCAATTAAATTGCCCAGGTCCTCCACATCATGTTCTGGCAACCCGTTGTCATTGTTGTCAGCCTCATCCAACACATTCATGTCAAGGATGTCCATATCCTGGATGCTATCATGTTCCTCCTGAGGAGAAAGGCACCATATTTACACCTTGATGACCCCTACACCTGCAAAGAGCAATTTCTGATGACGATTGGTGTACAGTATTTGGGGGGGAAAAAAACATACACGGCCATAACGAGATTCATCTTCCAAATTGTCATCCTCGTGTTCATCAGTCCCCTGCATAACGTCTGAGGACAAATTGCAGACAAAGATTAATGTAAGACTCAGAATTAAAACAGATATGAGTTGAGAGAAAATGCTGAGACGTGGGGGGAAAAGGGAAACACAAACACACACACACACACACACACACACACACACACACACACACACACACACACACACACGTGTGCGTATGTGCACATAAATACACACACACAAAGACTAGTTTATGTCTTGCATGTTCAGCATTTATAGCACCTCTTGCAGGACGTCTTGGTGTGGCTTTCTTGGGCACCGACTCCACTGAAAGAAGGATTGCATCAGGGTTTCCGCCCTCCTCCTCGATAGCCTGCATAAGTATATTCGAATTTTTAAAAATCAAGGAGAAAAAAACCTCACTTCTCAGAACCGCAACAGACTTTTAACTCACAACGGAAGCACTTGCAACACAAGCTAATAGTTTTAGCCTCGTTAGCACGATGGCGTCCATTAGCCTGTGGGCTAACATAGCTTCGTCACGTGACGTTATTCTGCGCTGTTGCGGACTTTGTAATGCTATTTTGCTGTGTAGTAAAAATCTATCTGGAGGATTACAGTTAACAGGACTGCGTTTGTAATAATAAAAAACCAAAATAAGACCTTTTTCAGGCGCTCCGACAGCACGCTCTTGTTGCCGAAGCTGTCCAGGTTTCGTTTCTTCAGCTCGGCCTTCAAATCAATAACTCGCAGGTCCGACAATTTACGAACTTCAAAGCCTTCCGGAATGTCAGTGGCGGTTGATGGATCAGCCATCGTTTCAAACCGGAAGATACCTCACTCCTGCCAGTAGATAAGTGCAGCAAAAACAAAAAAACAACAACAAAAAATCGCTGATTTTGCACCGGCGGCGTGCAATTCGACCTCAAAATGGAGTCCCCTCAGTTTTTCTCTGTGGCTGTGTGCGTGTCGTAAAGACGCATGCGCAGTGAAAATACAGTGCGGCTGGGGAGCCAGGAAAACAACGAAATAAAATCACTTTTTAAGGGTATTAAGTTGTATAATATGGTGTATGATTACACAATTTGCACCGTGTATTTGTAGGACAATAACTTTTATTATTATTACATCTTAAAAATCAGTCATCTCCAGTACTTTTAAGACAGCTCTTTGAGATTGTAGGAATGGTGCGGCGACGCACTTCCCAGCATGCAAGTAAATAGTTGTATTATGTTAAAAGTTGTTCTTTATTTGCTTTGTCATAAATGTGTTGGAGATGCAAAAGGTGGTCGAGCGGTTAGCGAGTCGACCTCACAGTGCAGCCCGGCCTTCCTGTGTGGAGTTTGCATGTTCTCCCCGTGCCTGCGGGTTTTTTTTACCAGGTACTCCGGTTTCCTCCCACATTCCAAAAACATGCATGGCAAGGCTGGTTGATCACTCCAAATTGTCCCTAGGTGTGTAGTGTGAGCGCGGTTGGTTGTTCGTCCCAGTGTGCCCTGCGATTGGCTGGCAACCGGTTGAGGGTGTCCCTCGCCTACTGCCCGAAGACAGCTGGGATAGGCTGCAGCACACCCCGCGACCCTTGTGAGGATGAAGCGGATCAGAAAATGGATGGATGGATGGAATCTTAAGACTTTTGAGCCCGACAAAATACACCATTGTTTTTGTGAAGAATGTGAATGGTTTGAAAAAATAGGACTTTATTCTTATCACATTCTGACTTTTTTTCCCTCATAAATAGGCAACTTTTTAAATCTTATGGCATTATGGTCTTAAAGGGGTATACGTGGTAGTTATGTTTGATTTAAGCAAACAAGTATGTACTTCCGAGTACGCCTACAGTATAGAAATATGGTATTTCTTATTTCAATCTAAAAGTACTTCATAACCAAATATCAAAACGTTTTTATTACAAAAACAAAGATAGTGCTGGCCTAAGACTTGAACATAAAGCACAGATGAGAAGTCAAAATTTTTTCTTCATCATTTAGAGAAGTGGGTTTGCTAAGGCTTAGTTGGAATGGTAATTTGTTTTGTCCCAATATTTGTCAATTAGCAGTTGTGTGACTTCGCATTGGAGGCTAACGAGGCAAACTCCTCGGACAAGGAGGAGACCTCAGAGAGAGTGCACGAGTCCAGGCTGAGGGATGACGAGGCCGAGCTCGTTCGTGGTTGGTGGAGGTTCAGTTTGGACACCAGCGGTTTGCCCACCGTAACCGCTTGCTTTTCCTCCACTTCCTCCTCCAGGTTGACATAAATGTAACGGAGACAGACGGCGAACGTGAGCTCCTTCTGTAAGACATAGCATGTCGAAACATATCAAAGGCATTCATAAGGCGATTGGAGTTGATCAGAATGAAAAGAGGTCCGACCTTAAGTCTTTGCAGGCTGCAAATGCGAGTGTACAGACCGGGGAGTTCAGGTGAAGGAAGTTGTTCTTTGATTAATAATAAACTGCCGGCTTCGACCAGAGTTGCCTGATTGCTCTTCTTTAAGTCAATGTCCACATCCTGCCATTAAAACACAAAAACGCAGTTAAGGAGAGGACAGTTTGAGTAGTTCAGTGTTTTGGTCTTCTGTTCAGAATACTCAAGAGACATTCGCCACCCAGCATCCATTTTCGAGAGTGCTCATTCACGTGCGAAAGAGGCCCAGGTCGTATTTGAAAAAAAAAAAAAAAATCTGACTTATACTGTTCAAACCGCATGAAAAAAAATCTGATATGTGTTGCATGAGGACAAAAAAAACCGAAATTTAGCTGCAGTGTAGACATAGCTTAAAGTCTAAAAACATGCTCATCTTTGGGAGGGAATGTGGCAGGAAAGATATTGAAACATGTGGCGAGTATGTGTACTACACACACAAGTGCCTCACAGTTCTGCGGTTTGGAATTTAAGTCTCCGTTCTGAACTTCCTGTTCAGAGTTTGCATCTTCGGAATTTCAGAACATTCAGAAAGAGATTCTCCCATTTCATTCAAAAATGTATTAAACATTAAATAGTCTTCTGAAAAGAAAGTAAAACAGCTTCATTGTGTGTGTAACCATACCTCTGGGAAGTCAGTAAGTTGAGCAGAGCATGAAGCAATTTCTTTGGGCTTGTCCAATATGCGTGTGTAGATGACCATGATGTTGGAGAATTCAGCGGCAAATCTACAGAGAATATTATGAAGAAACATCAGTAGTATTTTGAGAAAACAATTGATATAGTTTCCTTTCATACAAACCCAAGTTGGACCTTCACACCACACTCAAAGTGGATAAAATGGCTCTTTGGCAGGACTGCAAAAACACATTTCAACATTTGAATCAAGTTTACTGAGGTAAGATTCGACAGAGTAGTTTGACGTCAAGTACCATGAGCAACAGCCCACTGTAGGTTGCGAGCCGAAGAGGCCGCAGAGCAGTCTGACGTCTGGATAAGGTCAGTGAGGGAACGCCGCTCAGACAGATTACTGCGGAGTTCCAGAGCCTGCCTCCCTCGTGTGATTTCTAAGCGACCCATGTCTGGTGAGAGCATGAAAAAAGACAAAGAGCAGAAAGTTATTAAGAAGGCCTATGAGGAAGATCTGGAGCGCGGAAGTGTGTATAATTTGCAGTGTAACCAACAGTTATGGAGGGAAAAAAAGACCTCAGAGTGATGACGAAAATGAAATTTAAGGTTAACTCAAAGAGTCACTGATGGTGTAATGGTACACTCTCCTGACTTGTGTGCAGGCAGCGTGGGATCGGTTCCCACTCAGTGACGGTTTGAATGGATGTTTGACTCTTTATGTGCCCTGAGACTGGTTGGCAACCAGTTCAAGGTGTGGTCTGCCTTCCTCCTGAAGTCCGCTGGGATAGGCTCCAGCAACTCCCCGCGACCCTCTTTCGGATAAGCGGTGTTGTAAATGGATGGATGGGTTAACTCCAGGACCAGAAAGGTAACTCTTCTGGAATGAGCCCGACATCAGCAATGTCTATAAAACGCCACTAGGTGTCAGTACCGCTCTACAACAACTTCCGGTTCCCTCTCCATTATTTGTCCGTGTTTTTTTAAATGGTTTGTCGTTTTGATACCGTATGTGTAGTGATCAAGTTTTCTTAAAACCTGCACAACAGTTATGAACGTTAAAATATTACAGCTCCGTATACTTAGTAAAGTTTACACAGATTAATTCCTTTATATTTCCATTGGGAATCTCTGTTTTGAAGTTAGAGCTAGTTGGAAGTCACCATCAAATGACATCAACACAACAGCAGTATCATAAATTCTGCCGTTACGGCAGACAATAATGCTGAGTTTTGATTTCTACTGTCCTAAATATATTCATTTGACATTATGTTTATAGTTTTCGATGTCGTTGAACTGTACTAAGTGTTGTAAAAATCAAATATAGTAGATTACAATGAAATTTTAAAAAAAAATACCAATGTAAAGAATTAATTTGAGAAAATGACCCAAAGTCAGCTCAGAATTGGCTACAGCTCACCAGTGACGCTAATGAGGACCAGTGGAATAAAGAATAAACACAATTTAATGCACCTTCTGCCACTCTGTCCAGCATGACCGTGACCTTCTCATCTTGGCAAATATGCCGCTTGAGGAAGCTTATGAAGATGCCGTTGGACACGTCTTCTTCCCTCATTTCGTAAGCCTCCGCATCAACACACCTAAATTCAACAATGTACTCATAAATTGGATTTCACATTAACACAGCCATTTCTGATTCAACTTACGTGGCATATCCAAAGACTATATTTGCTGTCACCTTCAACAGTCCAGGTTGAACTACAACTTCATCGTTTGGATTTCTGAAAGAATGAAAACAATTCAAATAAAAAATATGCACAGAGAGGACATCACATAGAAAGCAAGCAACATTTACGATGAAACCTTTTACGGCACATATCCAGCAGGAACACGTTGAGTCCGGTCTCTTTCTCCTGCATCCTGGTTAGTATATTTTGCACGCAAATGCAGTGCTCTGATGTGTATGAGGCTGGCGCATCGATGGGCACCATGAAACTGTTGCCGTAGTTCTCATAACCGTGACCGGCAAAGTAGAGCAAGCCTGTGCAAGAAGGACAAGAATGTAAGTTTAGTGATGCTTCTAAAAGCCTTTGCAGTGATTGCTTTTTTCCAGGAAATGTTGTAGACTTAAAGTCGGTATTGGCATTGAATGGATTGATTGCTTGAGTTTTAAACAACACGTAGGACCTTAAAAAGATGCTCAACAGAAAATCAGAAATTACAATAGTTCCTCAGCGAGAGGCTAGTTTGTCAATTTGGTCACCCGCAGAGTATTTGGTAGAGCATTTGCAAGTATTTGTTAGATATGAGGCGTTTATTAGAGAGGAGGTCCTCACTTGTACAAATCCATTTTTTCAACATAAGTTTCTACTGTACAGTATATTCTAATTTGAATGAAATGTTGTCATAACAAAACCAATTAGGGTACTGTGGTCTAATAAATATTATATATGATCACCAATATTTAGTATTACATATGATAATTGTTGATTTTAATAACCTTTTTGTCATCCAGAGTTTACATTATTTTGATATTTTCATTTTTTATTGAATTCATATTGCAGCAATAAAAAACAGCTATATTTGTATAAGTATTATATATCATCACATACAAAATTACTATATACAGTATGATACTAAAATAAATCTGTACTTAAAGTTGCTTTCGATAGTGTAGGTTCAAACACAAGTGTAATAAACATCAACAATATTTTACATCATCTTTAGTATAACATATTGTTCGTCTATTGTGATTATTAAACCTAACCATTCAATTAATGATACTAGTCCAAACAAATTTAAGATTCACCGACACTATATTGGTTTATATCAAACATCATATACTGTAAGGAGTAAGAAGAATTGATAGATGACTTTTATCCTGTGGTGGATGTGGGATGTGGCGATGCTTTTAATTGAGGTTAGCCATTCAGATTGAGTGAAGCACGGCATCTCCTAAAGCGCACGCAACTGTTTGAGGAAACACAGGACAAAAGAGAACAAGTACTGAAGCTTAAACGCCCGAAGACGAACCGTAAACTCCTTTGCCGAGGAGCAGCAGGAACTCGGTGACGGCGCTGTGCATTTCCTGCCAATTGAGGTCCAGCAGAGAGACCACCTTGAAGTCCATTTGCCTGAGGAGGTTGCTCAACTCGTGGACGTCCGCCATAGGATTTCTAAAAGAATGAAAACAATTCAAACAAAAAATATGCACAGAGAAGACATCACATAGAAAGCAAGCAACATTTACTATGAAACCTTTTACGGCACATATCCAGCAGGAACACGTTGAGTCCGGTCTCTTTCTCCTGCATCCTGGTTAGTATATTTTGCACGCAAATGCAGTGCTCTGATGTGTATGAGGCTGGCGCATCGATGGGCACCATGAAACTGTTGCCGTAGTTCTCATAACCGTGACCGGCAAAGAGGGAATTAAACTCGCGAGTCCCTTTTTTTTTTTTAAGTTGCTGGAAAAGTCACTAAATGTTCAAGAATATTGTAACAATCAATTCATCTGTTGATTATTGAGTCAATTAATCAATGAAGCGGATTAAAAGAAAATGCAAATGTCTGTCCTTTTATTCAAAATTATGGCATCATTTCAACTTGACAGTGCAGAAAATACATGATTAAATAATAATTATGATTCAGTTACTGCTTTGGTCCGTAACAAGTCAGAAAATAGGCATTTTTTCCAGGAAAGGTTGTAGACTTAAAGTCGGGTATTGGCATTGAATGGATTGATTGCAAAACGTAGGACCTTTAAACTAAGCTCAACAGAAAACCAGAAATTACAATAGTTCCTCAGCGAGTGGCCAGTTTGTCAACTTGGTCACCCGCAGAGTATTTGGTAGAGGATTTGTAAGCATTTGTTAGATGTGAGGCGTTTATTAGAGAGGAGGTCCTCCCTTGTACAAATCATGTTTCTACTGTACAGTATATTCTAATTTGAATGAAATGTTGTCATAACAAAACCAATTAGGGTACTGTGGTCTAATAAATATTATATATGATCACCAATATTTAGTATTACATATGATAATTGTTGATTTTAATAACCTTTTTGTCATCCAGAGTTTACATTATTTTGATATTTTCATTTTTTATTGAATTCATATTGCAGCAATAAAAAACAGCTATATTTGTATAAGTATTATATATCATCACATACAAAATTACTATATACAGTATGATAATAAAATAAATCTGTACTTAAAGTTGCTTTCGATAGTGTAGGTTCAAACACAAGTGTAATAAACATCAACAATATTTTACATCATCTTTAGTATAACATATTGTTCGTCTATTGTGATTATTAAACCTAACCATTCAATTAATGATACTAGTCCAAACAAATTTAAGATTCACCGACACTATATTGGTTTATATCAAACATCATATACTGTAAGGAGTAAGAAGAATTGATAGATGACTTTTATCCTGTGGTGGATGTGGGATGTGGCGATGCTTTTAATTGAGGTTAGCCATTCAGATTGAGTGAAGCACGGCATCTCCTAAAGCGCACGCAACTGTTTGAGGAAACACAGGACAAAAGAGAACAAGTACTGAAGCTTAAACGCCCGAAGACGAACCGTAAACTCCTTTGCCGAGGAGCAGCAGGAACTCGGTGACGGCGCTGTGCATTTCCTGCCAATTGAGGTCCAGCAGAGAGACCACCTTGAAGTCCATTTGCCTGAGGAGGTTGCTCAACTCGTGGACGTCCGCCATGGGAGCGCACAGTTGAGTGCGGTAGCGGTAGTTCAAGTTGCCGATCAGGAGAGCCACCTTGTCTGTGGCTGGGGAGGGAAAGAGCTTAACTCGGGTCAAAAGCTTCCAATGTGGATAAAATCACTACTTTTACATTGTATACATGGCTTTGGCAAAGGTCAGTGTGATAAACATCCGTTGTTCTCATACAGAAAAAAACAGTTGACTGTTTCTTACAGGGAATTAAACTCGCGAGTCCCTTTTTTTTTTTTAAGTTGCTGGAAAAGTCACTAAATGTTCAAGAATATTGTAACAATCAATTCATCTGTTGATTATTGAGTCAATTAATCAATGAAGCGGATTAAAAGAAAATGCAAATGTCTGTCCTTTTATTCAAAATTATGGCATCATTTCAACTTGACAGTGCAGAAAATACATGATTAAATAATAATTATGATTCAGTTACTGCTTTGGTCCGTAACAAGTCAGAAAATAGGCAAAAATGTTGATCATTGTTTTGCAAAGTAAAAGCTAACGGTTAAATTTAAAAATAAAAAAAGTATGTGAATAAGTTGAGAAACAATTAGCTGTTGCATCTCTACTCAATAAAGTAAATAAATCCTGACAAATCAAATTAACAAATCAAGTCGTCAAGCCCTACCAATGACTTCAATCCTTTACTACAATTTTGAACTATCTCAGGAAAATTCTATAAAATTCTCATTACCATAAAACTGTTTGGATAATGTCTGTGGATTGGTCATCTGTGGACATACTTCTTCACTTGTGATGGCACTGTCCACTTCCTCTGGATCTATTCAAAAAAAAAAAAAAAAAAAAAAACAGATTTGTTTGTCCAGTGCTCTGGCTTTTTCTGCAGTTTGCGCTGTAAAACAAGAACTAATAAATGACTATATAAATCAGCATGTATTGTATTGTATTGTATGTAGTAATGAACAAATAGAGGAAGTGAACACTTCTCTCATTATTCTGCTTTACAAGATATGCCGTTTACGGAATACCTAAGCCGCGGTCAACTGCTTCCCAGGACGAATCAGTGATGGAAGTTGGGCCTGCATATAAAAGGAAAAAAAACACGATACTATATCCAGGGAAAATTCAGGCGGAATAGATGTTAAAAAAAAATATAATAATGGAATGGATTATGTTTCACCGATGCTGACAGTAGCAGGCTCACTCCACACTTCGTGAAACAAGTTGAACACTTTGCATCTGTATTGGCCTCGGTGTGCTGTGGTCACACACGGGATCTGGAAAGTCACAAACAAAACTTGCATTGGATTATAATTGGGGACGCAACGGTGCTGTACGACTACTTTCTTTGTATGACAGTTGGGAATGCTAAATTGTTACCCAAAACAACATTGCCTGGACAGTTAACAAAATGTTATGATTAAGTTACATTACATTCATTCATATGAAATAACCTGTTTTTTTTTTTTTTTGAATTACAACAAGTTTGAAGTCAACAAGGATCATGGAGCTGATTGTGCTCACCTTTGGAGTTTTCACTGTGTTTTCCAAAATACGATCTATAAATATGGGGATTATGATACAAGGTGACTTACTTTGAGAAGACGCATCTTGTTTTGTGGCATCGGAGTCGAGTTGTGGTACCACTGGTACTGGGCAGGAGGGTTGGCCACGGCAGTGCACTCCAGGAGCAACATGTCACCCTCAGACACTGTTTGGGACTGAGGCTGGTAGATGATACGCAGCCCACTGGATGAGCCTGAAAACATGCCGCTGCTACAGCCTGGAATGACAAGATTTGAATCGGTTCTTCCTTGATCCATTAAGTTTAGCAAAATGAAAGGGCTTGTACTAAAATCATGCTGGTGCTGTTCATTTGCTACACACTAAAGAAATGCTGCCCATGTTGGATCAAAATATTGATTCCATATGCTTAGTCAAATCCTCAACCCAATCTGCTGGGTATAAATAACTCAGGCTTGGCTAGGTCGCCTTTGGTCCTAAGCTATTTCACCCGATTTTGGTTATTTTTAACCCAGCAGTTTTAGGAATGTCAACAAGACTGTTCTATTTGTCCGAAGAATTGGACCATTTGCACCCCCTGTCGGGACCGGAAAGCTTTTGTGTTTCGACTATTCAAGTTCTATCGTGAATGGATGAAGAGGAGGGGTGAAGGTCATACCTGGACTCGAGCTGGGTGAAGAACGAACCAAGCGCACCTGAGCCCACTGGGAGAAAACGCAGGTGTCTCCATGGTTGACCCGACAGATGTAGCTACCCTGGTGCTCGGGGCCCATCGCACACACAACAAGCTCAGGTGTGCGTCCACTGGCTTCCAAAATCTTACAGAGACAAAGATAGTCTGATTTCAACTGAGGTCGACATCCTGTCATTGCGAATAACAATACTCACCTCCTCTTTGCCTTTAAACCACTGGTAACTTAATCCAGGAGGCCCTGAGACTCGGCATGTTAAAACCACCCTGCTGCCCAGCGGGGCCCGCTGAGAGCTGGGCTGTACTGTGATCCGGATCTGCTCAGTTACTGTTTTATATGAAGAGAAAAATTGCCAATTTTAGACGATAATACTAATGTTCTTTTTGTAAACGATAAATTCCACACATCATGCATACAAAGAAATATCAAGTTGACATGCATGATTTGCCTGCATGGGCAACATAAAATGTTATGGCAGGCAGGACCTGAGCCCTGGGCCTTGAGTTTGATACCTGCGATTTACGTGATAGGTCTCAATCATTTCAGCGTTTTTTAAGTGGCCCAAATTGCGGAATAATTAGTTCTTTATATTTGTTTTATTGACACACCAGCTTCAAAATACACTTTAAATAAATAATAATATTTGTCAATTATTTGGCAGACCCCCCAAGCAGCATCTCGCGAAACTGCCAGTTTGAGAACACTTATCCTTGGGTGGACATTTAGCTTGGTAGAAGACGACCTGTAGCGCTGAGCAGCTGCACGGCCTCCTGGTGGTCAATCTTCTTCAGACACTGCAGCAGGAAGAGCAGAGAGCAGGATCGATCGACCAGTAGAGCTAAGAAGCTGCGTCCTGGGCTCCCTGTCGCACTTAGCACCTGGAGCGAGCAGTTGGTCACAATCTTTTCACTGCAGGGGGGAGGTTCAATGTTACATGTACAGTACTATAAACTCCCAAGATGTTCAAGATGAATTTAACTACGGTACACAGATTTGTGACAATGTGTCCCACAACTTGCACACAACCCTTTTACCATAACTTCTTTACCATGGTAGAAGAAGAGGAAAGCAGTGAATCACAGGATACGCTGGACTTGACATCATCAACAATTTTCCATAAGAATGGGTAAAGAAAAGGTATATCCTCTCTTCTATTTTTCACATTTTTATAAAAGAGCCTTAATTGAATGTCACACTCGACCTCATCCCTGTTATGCCAATGATCAGAATAATTCAATTCTTTTTAAAAAAATATAGATATTTACTGATTTACATCAGTAAATTTTCCTACGCTGATTTTTAGGAAGCCTTTGAAAGTTTATTACCTATTATTGATGAATAAGTAGCAGAAAATCAGAAAAATGAAGGTTAATTTAAAAAAATGTTGAAGCCAAAATGTCCTCAAATTCTGTTTTTTAGCTGTGACCTATAATCTGCATAACAATAAAAAATAATCATAAATTATTTCACTCTGTGTAGACTGAATCTATGTATTTTTATTTTCTTTTGATCTCACCTACTTAAAAGAAAAACATTTCCACGAAACAGTTTTCGCTTTCACTTGATGTAGTACTTGTAATTGCCAGTAGGTATCCGATTACTTTCGTTCAAAGAGTGTCATTTTACAACCAGCAGTTACAACAAAACACCTGTTTGTACTGTAGTAACCAATAATACACTTCTTAAATCACCCACAATTCCTTGTCTCGTTCAAAACTTTTCTCTTTTACCAGAAATTCTTCTCATTTAATTCAGGACGTTCGAAAACGAGTGTCGATGGTGCGTTCAATGCCCACCTGCAGCGGAATTTCGGGTCTTCAGACACAACCTGGGCCAGCTGCCTCCATCCGCAAGTGGAGTTGTCCAGCATCGTGGACAGTCTGTCGAGCACTTCTTTATCCAGATTGGCGAGACTTAATTTACACTCCTCCATCTTTTCCATCTTTTGTGATCAAGCTAAAAACACACGTCACAGCAAGCAGGCGCGCGGTGAAAGAAAGTCGTCCCGGTAAAATGTTCGGCAGTAGTACGGGGATTTCCCCTTTTCAAAAAAAAAAAAAATGAGGAAGCGAAGCTGGGGGCGGTGGGGAATCTTGAATCGGCTCACAGTAAACCAACTACGGTACAATATCATGATGTCGTGAAACTCATTTCAACGCACACTCCAAATTTACACTTCCGCCATCCGCGTTGACGTGACAAATCTCGTTTAAAACTTACCGAGCGACTTGACGTTACATTTCAAACTCGTCGCGGAAGCGTCTCTGTTGGTTACACAAGAATTTATGTGAGTCATTTTAACACAACGAGGCTCATAAAGTATATTAAGTTGTTCCTCAGACGATCGTCTCGGTTCCTCATTTTACTCCACCTACCCCACCCGCACATAGGTGGTCTTTCGCACGTGTTGCCACGGCGACCGTATTGAGGTCAGTAGACAAACACAAGAAGAGGTGGCCCAGCCATCCAGGGATCCATGATGGGGTCCGATGGGAAGTCCAAATTGGGGGCTCTCTATTTTTTAACATTGATATTACCGATTATGATCATTCAACTTATTGCAACAGTGTGTGGATACCATAAGAGAAGACTTGAGTTTATATACAAAATATTCCAAGTAATAAAACTAGATATTGTGATTCTGAATATCATCGAGGCCTGCTACAAGTAGCCAGAATTAACCAACATACTATGCATTTAATGTAAAAGTGTCATCTGGTTTATGGCAACAGTACGGTAATGTGCAATTAATTTGTAGAGGTCTCTCAGATCAGTGGTTCTCGAACTTTTTACACCAAGTATCCTCAAAATATAACTGGCTCTCCAAGTTCCACCATCACCACTGACATTACAATTCAGTAGCATAGAATGCCCACCTCTTAATTAAAAAACAAGGCAGAGATTTTATTCCTAAAAAAAAAAAAGATTAGCTCCTCCCAATGTGTTTTGCAGTGGTTAGAGAAGAAATGGGTGCAAGAATAAATGTTTTTAATAAGCCACACAAATATAGTACAGTAAAAGCAAAAACAACAACAACAACAACAACAACAAACTACATTGACAATACAAACCATGCATTGTGAAATTCTCAAAACATTTTTCAGTTACAGTTCACATAATTGAAGATGAATTAATCCAGCCATCCATTATCTGAACCGCTGTATCTTCATGACTCGAGACCATTCAAAAACATTTCGGAGAGGAAAAAAACAAAACACTCCAACATCTTCATTGATCCTAGGCACAGTCACTTTCACAACTCAGAAATTCCCCTTTGGGAATGGATATCATAATGTGTCACCAACAAATGAACAAATGCAAAAAGAATGAAGATGATACAACTAAAAATGCAGCAAATGAATCATATTTCAATCTCTTTATAAGCTACTTTTTTAAATAGTCACAGAAAGCGATAAAAGGGAGGTTTTGTTAAAAATCCCTGAGCTTTTAGGCACTTGGGAAATCTGGAGGGAACATGTAGATAAACAACAATATTCAACCACACTCACAATGAAAATAAAACAAAAATAGCACTCTTGAATCGGTTCTTGTTCATACAATAACACAGCACTAAAAAGTACAAACCCAATTCCATACAAGTTGGAATGTTGTGTTCAACTAATAAAAACAGAATACAATAAGTTAAATTTTTATAGCTTCAATACATCCCTCCCCCCAAAAAAAGCCAGGCCAGGGTCATGTTTACCACTGCTACATCACCTTTTCTTTTAACCCCATTCAATAAACGTTTGGGAACTAAATACCCTGATTGTTGAAGCTTTCTAGGGTGGAATTCTTTCCCATTCTTGCTTGATGTATAGCTTCAGCTGTTCAACAGTCATCATAATGCGCCATACATTTTCAACGGGAGACATGTCTGGACTGCGGGCGGACAAGTCTAGCAACCGCACTCTTCTGCTATGAAGCCATGCTGTTCTAACACATGGAGAATGTGATTTGTCAGTGTCACGCTGAAATAAGCAGTGGGGTCCATGATAAAGACGTTGCTTGGATGGCAGCACGTTTCTCCAAAATCTCTATGTACCTTTCAGCATTAATGGTGGTTTCAGAGACGTGTAAATCACCTTTGCCAGTGACACTAACACAGCCCCATACCATCACAAATTCTGGCTTCTGAACTTTGCGTCCATAATAGTCCGGATCGTTTTTTTCCTCTTTGGCCCAGAGGACACGATAACCACAATTTCCAAAAGCAATTTGAAATATGGACTCGTCAGACCACAGAATGCTTTTCCACTTTGCATCAGTCCATGTTAGAGAAGCAGGCGGCATTTCTGAGTGTATCTTGAAAAACGACTTTTGCTTTGCATAGTACAGTTTTAAGTCGCACTTGCGGATGTAGTGCCGAACTGTAGTTACTGACATTAGGTTTTCCTTAGTGTTCCTGAGCCCATGTGTTGATATCCTTTTTCATATTGATGTCGGTTGTTGATGCAGTGCCCTCTGAGGGATCGAAGGTCACGGGCATTCAATGTTAGTTTTCAGCCTTGCCGCTTACATTCGGTGATTTCTCCAGATTCTCTGAAGCTTTTGAGGATATTATAGACTGTAGATGATAAAATCCCCAAATTCCTTACAATTGCACCTTGGGGAACATTGTGCTGAAACTGTTCGCTCATGCAGTTGTTCACAAAGAGGTGACCCTCGTCCCATCTTTGCTTGTGGATGACTAAGCAAGCCAGGGAAGCTCCTTTAATACCCAATTATGGTACACAGCCGTTCCCGGTTAGCCTGTTCACCTGTGGGATGTTCCAAACAGGTGTTTGATGAGCATTCCTCAACGTTTGTATTCCTTTTACCTATAGCAGCTTTTTTTGGAATGTGTTGCAGCCATAAAATTCTAAGTTCATGATTATTTTATTTTGCTAAAAACAGAGTTTGAACATTAAATAGCTTGTTTTTGTAGTGTATTGCATTAAATATAGGTTGAACATGATTTGCAAATAATTGAGTTCTGTTTTTATTTGTTTAACACAACGGCCCGGCGTCATTGGAATGGGGTTTGTATGTAGCGTCACTGTTGACGCTGTGTCATCCCAACAAAGTCACCATTGAAAAGCAGAAAGATGAACTGCGTGACAATTGACAGCTTTTGCTCCCCCACAATAAAATAAAATAAAAAATAACAGCATCGCAAAACCCAGATATCATGCTCATGGGCCATACAATAATATAAAGCCAAACCAAGTTAGTGGTTTTTTTTTTGTTTGTTTGTTTCATTTTGAATAAAGATAAAAAGTTGTATTTTTATCTGATACCAAAAATGTCACATTACAAGAATAAGGTAACAAGTAAGATCATTTCATTAAGAGCATGCCTGAGATGTCTACGTGTCTTTTTCTCCTGATCATGTAATACTGATAGTAAAAGTGAAAATTATTATTTTCACGTTTCATACTACTTAAGTTTAAACGGAAAAGCCACGTAATTGTGTAGATTTTAACCTATTATTTGCCTCCTCCTTCAATTAATTTCTTATCCTAAAATAACTATTCTTGTGACATTAACATTTTTGTTTTCATGAGATTATCTTCTTCCTCTAAATAAAGACTGCTCTTAAAACAAACAAAAAAAAGACAATCAAGTAAGATTACAACTCATGGTGGATTCATATTTTTTTCCCTACGTGAAGTCCTAGTAACTCTTTTGTAAAGGGATGGCATAGTAATATACTGTTGTTGAGCAGCGTTTCAGTGCAGACTTCTCAGTTTTCTCTTGGGCCCGCCACTCACACCAGGCGATGCAGCAAAACGCAAAAATACTCAGTGACTCAATGACACACCTGATGAATGACCCGCACACAAACTCATGGCAACGGGAAAAAAAATGCAACCACTGCTTGGCCGAGTTGTCAGGTATGTGGCGGTCTTAAGTATTGTATGACGTCAAATGTTCAACGCAGCATTTAAAGCAGCAGGCTTGATTCTGAAATGTTGCATAAAGTTGTGGAGCAGGTGCAAGATGCTGCTTTTTTTTTGGGGTGGGTGTTTTCATACGAGAAGACCGGCTCCGGTCTCACCTGAGCAGACATCATCAACATTTCGGGAGCGTCCAAAAAGCGCCCTAGTTGTTCATGAGGTACTGGTGGAAGTAGATGCCGAAAAGCGAGCTGATCACCTGACAGGCTGCCACCCACCAGGTGAAGAAGGCAAAGAACCCTCTGAAGAAGAGCGGCGTGAGGACAGAGCGCAGGGCGGCCAACATCTCCGACAGGCGGGCCACCGTGACCTGGATGTCCTCCTCCATGTCCTCGAATGACTCCTCGTCTTCGTCCAGAGCGCCCGAGATGACTGGCGCCGCCGTGGGCAACGGAGAGGCGGGCGTTACGCCGGGGTTCACGTCTGCACTTGCTCCATCCCAAGAAAATCCTCCTGGAAAAGAAAAAACACGACGCACCATTCAGTCATTTGGCTGCAAAGTTCACCCCGAGGGTAAAATAGTAAAATAAAAAAAAAAAAAAAAACAATAAAAGACTTAATTTTCCCCCCACTAGAGGGAGCCCGCGCACCACACTGACGCCAGTAACAAATTTTGAACTACACGTTTTCAAAATGTATTAATATAGCCTGACTGAAGTACATTAATGAGTACCGGAATCCTCAATGTTTCAGAGAAAATGGTTAGTATTTTTTTAAGTTTTACACCACTCCTGATTTGATTCAAATGTCAACAAATTCAACTATGTCTGTCATAACCTCTGTCACTGAAATGTCAGCTCATGTAGCTTTATCCTTTTTAAAATATCTACTGGGCATTAAATATATTGAGATATTTTTTTACATGTTGTTACACTGCAAGTACTTATTTTTGCATGCGCAGATATCATGCCTGTGTCAAGGCACCCTCAGACTTCGATTGCTTTTGTTTTGCATGTGTGACCATTTTAATGCCGTTTTATTTTTTTCGTGCTTCTCCTTCAAAGACCAACAGGTGCATGTTTCTGTGGGAACCTGTGAACACTGTTACAACTGTCCCATAAGAAATACACACATTTCTGGCACATACAGTTTCTAAATTCCCACCATTACCACCAATTTCATTGATTGTAAATCTGTAAGTCTACTTAGAAGACAAATGACAAATTTGACTCAGAACAGCCTCAATGTACACAAATTTTGAAGCACCTAAACAGATGCCTGACATTAATTTGTGTATTATGAGTCACTTTAAGAAATGCCATCAAATTTCA